GGGATAAATCTCATTAAGCCAAACTTTGTCATAGCAATGAATATATGATAAAGATAAGTGGAGTTGTCTATACAAAAGGAGGACACCAACCACATCCATGGCTTCCGATACGACAAAGTGTGATACCATTGACAAATGCTAGCCTTTGTTACCACACCCGCACCGTCAAAAGGTGGCCCTGGTTGTTGTTGCTCACCAAACACCATACAACCATGCACAAGAGACCACCAAGGGACCACTAGCCACAACTTGATGAATTTTTATCATTGGAGGGTAGCCATCTTGTCCAATCACAGAGTTGTAATTGTTACCAACCTCATGCTAATCCTACTGAGTTGCGCTAACTCTTTGTCCTTTTCCAAGAGCCAATGAGATAAAATATGTAGATATTCGACCCCTTGTTCATTATCGAGAGCCAGTGTAATGAAGATATGTAGAAATGTGTAGCCTTTTACTCATTGCTAAAAGCTAAATGAGATAGCAAATCTAGCCCTTTGTCCATCACTGGGAGCTATGTGAATGTAGCTTATTGTCCTTAATGGGAGCTATGTATGTGTAGAAAGGTAGGCTTTTTGTCTATTATTGGAAGCCAAAAGATGTAGTAGTAAATATCGCTGTAGTGAACATGACTGTCAAAAACACCCAACCATGTCGTAGAGATTGATCTAGTCATGTCTAGCCATATATATGAAAATAAATGTTGAAGTGGATCATACCTGTAATGTTTCTAGTGAAATGGATGAATGCCATTTTTGGCGATACTGACTCTGTTGCAATAATCAATAGAAAATAAAATCTAACAAATCTTATGTGAAAATAAACCATGTGAGCCCTTCCTAATCACAAGTCTAAAGCTGGTCTTGTAGATGTGGCACTACACATGTTGTCGATTTCAAAACAATACAAATTCATCCTTCAACAAATGTTTCATCAAGTTGTGCTCCAATAGGAAGGAGGACAACACAAACATGGCGATTAGGCTTAAATAGGTAGCAACCCTCATCTCACTTATCGTCAATATGGTCAAGGGTTGGGATTCCTAGCTAATCTTTTGGCCCCACTTCAACATATGGTGGGTGGGAACTATCATTTACTAGAAATTTGTTCTTCCTTAAATCTTCTAAACCATCTCTTAGGGTGGGAGCTGTCAACTAGCTAAAACTTACTGTCCCTTGAAAGTAGCAGAGCAGTTGTGATTACCTAGTGTTGATAAGAAAAAAAGTTATAAGCACTTAATGGTTTAAGTTATTTGCAAAGATAATCTTTTAACTTAGGTAGAATTCTTCTATCTCCTTATTACACCCTAAATTAAATCCTGTGACAATTGAGACACATGGAGACATCTTAAAAATAGTTCTATTAAGATTAGATAGGTTAAATCCCACTAGAATTAGAATACCAAAACACCAATCAAATAGAGTTGTATTCTTGGGATAACTTTATGTAAACATTCTATAAATACCTTAAGAATAAACCTAGGAAGGTAGATTATTTTCTCCACTTTCTCTCTATTGTAAGCTCTCTCCATTTTTTATCAATAAAGTACTTGGTTCCACACCATCTATTCTATTTTTTTAGTGTTAACATTTGGTGTCCACCATGGGGCCAAGTTATTTTTTATCTACGAATACCACATGGTGAATCTTGCCAACAAAAATTCGCTATTGCCATACATGGATGCTCCAAGATTTGGAAACAATGGAGAAACAAGTGGCTTTTCTTCCTCTTGGATGAATTTCGGTGAAAGGCTTGAGCAAGATATGGTAGATACAAGGCATAATTTGAGAGCAATCAAGCAAGCTGCAATTTCTGTGATGGAAGCAACAAATATTTTAACGCAACACAAGTTTAAAACAAATGCACCAGAAACAAGATAAGTCACGGAGGATTACACTGCCTTCAACTAGGTGGGCTGACAGCTTTTTTGGGAAACGTAGGATTCAATGCTAGAAAGCAGTGATTAGGATGATCAAAGCTATGCACATTCAAGACCAATAGAGCTTACTATTGATACAAGAACAACTGTACCATGTATATATGGCATAACCTCTGTGCAAAAAAACTCAATAAGTGGAAGCTCGTAGATTTCGTAATGATAATACATATAAAAATAGATGTGCAATATTAGTTTATAGGAAGGTAAAAGCAATTCGACAAAGGTATTTGGGGGTGACATACAAAGCTTTGGTGGAAAAAGCTTTCGTCAAGAAGTTATCAAGGAACCTATGCCATCACACTTCAAAGCTTCATAGTTGGCAAAATACTACAAAACACAGGATCTAGTGGAACATATACAAGTATTTCTTGTATTCAAGGTGGCAATGATGGCTTACAGAGCTTCTAAAATTCTTTTGCACAAAAATCTCTAGCAACTTCAAATAATTCTGTGTAGGCTAGGTCCACGACATTGTCAAATAGCTCATTTTCATAATGAAGTAATGCATATTAAAATTTTAGATCAAGGAGTTATAGTGCATAGATTCTACGATCTTTACGTAAATGCAAGCTGACCAACTTTAATGATTTGTTGAAAAAGTGAAATGATATGTCTAAGCAGAGGAAAGATTTGCAAGAAAAAAAGCGTACGAGAAAAAGCTACAATGAGACTAAGCCTAGTGGAAGAAAACACGTGTTGATCGTAAGAATTCCTAAAGCATCACTATTTGCACAACTCTGCATTATTCAACAGAAAGCTGCGATCCAAGCTAAGTAATTTCACTTTTTAATTTTCTAATTTTCAATCTTAATAATCATACAAGTTACTATGTTTCTAAGAAAACTAACCTTTTTCTTGAGAAACTTTTGGGAGAAGGTTACATAGGCCAAAAAGTTTTGAGCATAGGAATTCAATTATAGGATGCACAAGTCTAACAAGAGATATGAGACAGAAATGGACATAAATGGAGGTTTAAAAGAGTAGTATACAGAACATGATGATTATATGAAACCGGTGATATTGGACTTAGAGAAACTTGAGAGTACAATAGATATTAGAGCTAAGTTTACAGCACGTTTGGAGGAATGTTTGAGAGATTATAAAGAAATGTTTGCATGGAGAGTAAGGTTTCCACAAACTTAACGTCGGCCATCAAATCCTCTACATATGAAGTTGTGGCTAAAACAACAAAAGAGGAAATCGAAGAATTCAAAAGAATACACATTACACGTAGGATTAGAGTACCAAAGATCCTTATTACGAACTAGATATCGCTAGTAAAGCTTTCAAAGACTTCTAACTAAGCATAGACTTCAGAAAGAAAAAGATCATGATCAAAGCACAATTTGAAAACAAAGGAAAAACAATTAAACAAATTGGGATATTGCAAAAGACTGAGGTCTTAGGTAAACATTCCAAAGAAGGAAAGTTGTGCCTAAACTGAGAAGGTTCGTACCTCTACAAAGAAAATTTGGGAAATAGAGCTTTCAAGCCCAATCATCCCAATGGAACCTTAGTTCCAAGGACCTAAAATCTTGTGCACCCTAAAAGCAAAGATTCATTTTGCATTGCTAAAAACCACTTCTAAGTGGAACATAGCTTTAAGAATAAGGTCTTGGCTATACACATCTTCGCTCACTTCTACGCAACATATAGCTTCAACATCACCTTTGAGTGATCCAAAGCTTCAAACACCAAACATGGTGAAATATGAACATGTGAAACTATAGAGCTATTCTTAAAGTTCTAAAATCTGGATAAGGTTAGTTAACTCAAAATTTTGAGAAAAAACTAACTAGAATATGCTTAGACTAGAAGCTACCGGCAAATTAGGGCACATATAAATACCGGGGCAAAAGCTATGCAAGTGAGACTATACTAAAAACTACGGGCAAGCTAGGGTGTATATAAATACTCGAGCAAAAGCTATGCAAGCAAGGCTATACTAAAAACTACAAGCAAGCTAAGGCGTATATAAAAACCTAGGCAAAAGCTACACAAACGAGGCTATACTAAAAGCTGTGGGCAAGTTAAGATGTATATAAGCACCTAGGCAAAAGCTACGTAAGCGAGGTTATGAAGGCTAATGCAATTCTCGACTATAGGAGAGACTTTGCAACATAAACCCGTAGTAATTGATTGGGGTGTAAAGTTGTGTCCTAGCCTATCTTTTATACAAGAAAATGGAGGACATGATGGCCTATACTAATTGATCATTAAATTATGGAATCTCATTGATGAATGAGAATGCCTTCACCATAAGAAACCATGATGGCCTATAAGACTGACAAAAAGCTACGCACAATTTCAAAAACTATAATTTGGTTATACTCAGTTTTAGAATATCAACAAGATAATAAATCAACCAAATACACAGATTCTGGTATAGTTTCGGTGAAAAGTCAAAATGCTAGGCATGACCAAAACTCGAGTTAAAAATAGAGCATCTGTTTACCAAGAAGATGTTCTCAAAACACAAAATCAAAGCACCGCAACATAAGAATATAGATATATATATATATATAAGATCCAAATATAACAAAACAAAAATAAAACATCCATAATAGATAAAGAAACATCAAAGTAGTGCAACCTAAATGTTTTTCCAAAAATATATGTCCTTATATGTAGGTTCAACAAAAGGCCAGAATGACCAGATTTTCCATCCCACGAAAACAAAATTGCAGGAAACCCCATTGGAAAAGGAGGGGCAATGGGAATATTCTGATTTGGAAGAAGGAACAATTGCTTCAACAGTAGCATAACCAACGGGAAATGAGCTGGTAGTCGCAAAAGAAGAAGTTACCGGAGCACCAATGACGGTAGGAGGAACTTCAGCAACAGGATCTACTTCCACCCTAGGAATGGCCTTCGCAACCGAAGCAACAATGGCAGAATCCAAGAAACCCCCTTCCATTTGGATACAAAGAAATAGGGGAGTAATAAAAAAAGGAAGGAAAAAAGGTAAGACAGAAAACATAAACGTAAGACAGAAAACATAAACAAGCAACAAAGAAAAAGGTGAAGAGACCAAACAAAAGTGATAAAGAAAGACGAGACAATAATAAAAAGGAAAAAGAAAGGGCCAAACCAAGAACGAAGGCAAGCAAAGAAAAGAAATGGTGAAGGGATCAGAAGAAATTAATAAAGAAAGGGGTAGAAGATTCGAGATCGACAAATCATAAAAAATACCTCATCAAAATTGCATTTCAAAATTTAGCATTTCAAAATTTAGCATTAAATGCCAAAATCTCACCAAATCCCATAGAAGCAAGAATTGCAAATCACCAATACAAGCTCACAAATAAAAGGTGGACATGTGTCAAAAAATCTACAAGGGAAAATGACTACACCGGCAAAGAAATCTTGAAGAAAATACAAATAAAGAAATCTTGAAGAAAATACAAATAAAGAAATCAAGATACCTACGCAGCATATAGAAGATTGACAGAAAGTATACCAAAAGCTGTGAAAATAACAAAAAACCTATTCTGTACTCTTTTTTTCTTAAACTAGTTTTTTTATTTCGTAGGGTTTTTTACTAGCTAAGGTTTTTAAGGAGGCAGCCACAGTCACAAAATCTTTTCCATAATAAGATGGAACCTCTTAAAGGCAAAGATATGAAAAAGCTATGCAAATTTTGGAAGTCAAGCTACTCAACAAGTTTTTGTGACCCTCAAACTTTGTTCGTTGGGGGGCAAATGTTATACCTCAAATTGAATCTTATAAGAATTAGGACACATGGAGACATCCTAAAAATAGTTCTATCAACATTAGATATGTTAAATCCCACTAGAATTAGAATACCCAAACACCAATCAATTAGAATTGTATTCCTGGGATAACTTTATGTAAATATCCTATAAATACCTTAAGAATAAACCTAGGAAGGCAAATTATTTTCTCCACTTGCTCTCTATTATAAGCTCTCTCCATTCTTGATCAATAAAGTACTTGGTTCCATACCATCTATTCTATTTTTTAGTGTTAACACTCCTCTAGCAATCTTTTAGATCTTAGATAATAATTGAGCTCTCTAACCTCTACACCTAATTGTGCAAATATTTTATGGGCATATCTCCTATTACTTATGACATGGTTAAGTTTTTTGTTACTTAATTTGAGATATAAGGTCATTCTATGTACTCTTTATTCTATCAATAAATCAAAACTTTATTATTCACCATAAAAAATTAAAAAAAATTTTTTAAAAATCTATGTAAGCCAAAAAGCAAAGTTTGGGTTGATATTATTCAACTCCTCCTCTTTGTTATTTGGTGCAGTGATATTTTAAGAGATTCTATTGTTCTAATAAAGGGGAGGGTGTCCTAGGTGTTGGGGAATAGATTAGCAGAATCCAAATCATTGGCTTGGCCTTCTTATTTAATCAATCAATCCTCAATCACCAATATATTTTCCTTTCATCTAAACAAGCATTAATTCCTTCAGGTTGTGTTTGGGAACTTGAATTTGAATTTGATGAGTGTAATTAAAATACATGTATTTAAAATACATGTATTTTAAAGTACATTGTTTGGATTGAATTAAAAAAAATGAATTTCAAATACATGTATTTTTAAATACATTGTTTGGATATTTTAAAATACTATGTATTTAAAATTGAATTTTTCTATTAAATTAAATCTTCTTCATAATATTATTTAAATTTAATTATCTTAAAGTTAACAATTTTAGTCTTTCAAAATATTATTTAAATTAACACAAGACAAGCAAATTGGATAAAAAAAAAAAAAAAAACAATGACCTCCACTAATCAATTTGTCATCATATTCTCCATTTTGTGTTCATTTTTTCATTGTCATACAATATTCAATTTTTGCAAAGATGAATTTATTATGAAAGAATTTCACTATAAAAAATAAAAAAACAAAATCGTATCTAAAATTATTATCAACTATATCCATTAACAAGGTAATTGAGGTAACACTTTTTAATTGCAAAACGAAATAAAAATATGACATTTTTCGTTGAAGACTTCGAACAACTATATTCATTAACAAGGTAGTTGAGATAGCATTCCTTAATTGCAAAATGAAATAGAAATATGATATTCTTCGTTGAAGACTTCGAAGTAAACCATTGAGTTACACTACTACAGGAATGGGATTTTCGAACCGAAATATCGGTCCGGATATATAGAAAATCAGTCTGAATATATATATACGGACCGATATTGGTCCTTATAGTTGATCTAAAAAAACCTGGTACGAATAAGTGTAATATACAGACCGACGTATAATCGGTTCGTATATATATACTATCCGGACCGAAATCGGTCCGGATATTTCAGTAAGAAATATAAATAATTATTGAGAAATTGAAATAAGCGGACCGAAATTGGTCCCAAAAACATAATATAATAAAATAATAAAATATATACGAACCGACAACGATCTGTAACTGTGGCGGGAAGAGGCATCGCAAATATATACGGACCGGGATCGGTCCGAACATTGAGGACCCAGCTGCAACTTTTAAAACTTGCAACTATATCCAGACCATTATCGGTCTGAATATATTGGACTTGCTTGCAACTTTTAAAAGTTTCGTATCCCGACGGGTGCCATTCTCAAACTATATTCAGACCGTTTTCGGTCCGAATATTGTGGACTTGCTTGTAACTTTTAAAAGTTCCGTCTCCCAACCGACGCCATTCTCAGACTATATCCAGACCGTTTTTGGTCCGAATATTGTGGACTTGCTTCTAACTTTTAAAAGTTTCGTCTCCCAACAGGTGTCATTCTATAAATATATCCAGACCGTTTTCGGTTTGAATATTTTGGACTTGCTTGTAACTTTTAAAAGTTTCGTCTCCCAACAGGCGTCATTCTATAAATATATCCAGACCGTTTTCG